GGCACATTCCCAGACCTTTCGCCGGCATAGTCAGTGAACCTTGCCATTCTTAGCACCACACCACAACTCGTCAAAGAGAACAGTGAATTAGTTCCTTTGACCAAACAGTTGCGGTATCTCCCCTTCTGTCCTGGGGTATTCTCCTATCCTATATCCTCGTATCACCCCTTCAATATCACAATTTCTTACTTGTATATTTAAACCTATTTAAAACCTATTCACACTCCCCTCTGGTTCCCAGATCCCCCCTTTGTGTTGGGATTGTTTAGCCGTGACTGCAGTTTATTCCGCAATTCTCTTCCTCCAAGTCCTATCAGAGTCTCCCTCTCGCTCCGTAGGATCCTTCTCTTGATTGCCTACATTGCTGCCACCGTATCCGTGCTACTCAAGGCGTTATCTTCTGCCTCAAGCCTTTGATCGCACGTATACGTCAGCCTCACTGAGCAAGCCCCTAAAGTCTGAATTCTCAATTGGCATTGCAACCTAACTTGACACTGCAGATTCCCTTACCACTGTGCGGAATGTGCACCGAGTAAATCTCGTGGTCAAACCTTTACTTCATGGAACACATCTTTGATCAAGCTTATCTACTAAAGACCAACTTTCAATCGACACCGCTGTTTCTCTCGCTCTTCTATCCCTGATGCCAAGTTTACAACTTTCTCTTACGTGCTGATCCCCAAATGCGATGGTTCTACTTGATTTGAATAGGCTTCCTATAGACGTCTTCTGTTGGTTTCCGATAGTTCCTCTCTGGTATCTTTGTAATTTCTTTTCCTAAAATTAAAAATATTACCTTTGTCCAGTCGCCTTTTTTGCTGATATCGTTATTCCCTGATCTTCTCCGAGTTTGCTTAGGTAGTATGCAAAGTTTTCGCTAATCCTACCTTATTTAACTGCCACATTCATTAGATTTCCTTCAGTCAGGATATTAATGGAAGATATTAAGACCAAGATGTTGTGGCCTCTGGTATGGTCGCAGGATATTAATGGTTTCTGGTACCTTACGTTTTCTTGTATTTCTATCATATGCAGCCAGCCCTTATGTCGATTTCGTGTCCCATCCGTGCGATGCGTTCTGCCATTTCGGATATTTCAGTATCCATGCTTCTGCAGTCTTTGATGTTACTTGATTCGTAAGCTGATTTTTCTTCCAGCTTCACCAATATACTTCTGCTCACAGTTGCCCCATTTGATGCTATAGACTCCCGAGCAATCCAGTTTGTCAACCTTCTCGTGTTGCGCCAGCAGGTAATGAAAGTGTTGTCTATTCTTTTGTTAACACCTTAATATTCCATTAGCAACGGGTGCAATTTTCGGCTCCTTTCACAGGGGACAAGCGTATTCACTTTTAGTCGTCCTCCCGATTAATCATCTTATTTTCATAAAACCCTAGTTTAAATCGGCTCTTTATGATCCCTATATTTGTTTCTATACATTCTCTAAGGTACCCGTAACTAAGGCAAATTCGAGTCAGTTTCTCAAACTTCTCGTTCCAGTAATCAGTGTCCGCTACTCTTTAGCTTCTGATTATCTCACTCCTCATTATTCCTATATTCCTTCTGCAGTTGTGATGAGACTGGGAATTGAGGATTATTCCCGCATGTAATTTCTTCCTGGATAGTCTCCTCTGAAGTACTCCGTTGGAGCGAATGACCTCAACATCCAGGAAGGGTAGTCATTTATCCTCCTTCACCTCCATTGTGAATTTAATTCTTCCATCAGGTTGGTTTATAAAATTAAGGAACTCATCCAAATTTTTTTTACCCTGCGACTAAAGCGCAAAATAATCGTTCAGGTATCGCATAAGCACTGTTGGCTGCAACAGTGACTTCACGAATTTCTCCTATTTGTCCATGTATATATTTTCCAAAAGAGGTGAGAGTTAAGATGCCATCTGTAGTCCACATATTTGCTCATAGATATTGCCGTTGAAAGTAAAATAAGTGTTACTTACTGTCAGGTTGATTAGTCATGTCAACGACTGCTTCCATATCCACTCTGCTTCTAGGATATCCTCCTCTCGTTCCAGAACTCCTGCAGGGCGGTGAGTGCTTTCTCGCCTGAGATATTTGTATGCATGGATTGTACGTCAAAACTTATCAGCATTTCCGTCCCTGCCAGTCCAATATTTTAGATCTTTTGAGAAAATGCATATGAATTCTTCACTTTGCTCGAGAGTTTGTCGACTTGTAATAAGTTTATGCGTTGAGCTAGTGTAAACTTGAATTTACGACAATGTAACGATTTAATAAAGTTTATCATGCATGCAAAAATTTTGTTTCAGTTTCGTAATTGTCAAATTTTCCTCTTAATTTTCGCGTAGCCTCCTAATGACCATACAGTGAAAATATAACTTTTTTATCGTAGCAATTTATTCAGGTTAATCAATTTACTCTCACTCTTAATTTCGATTAACTCCATTCACTTTTTATTAAATCCTAACTATTCTCGACTGATTCAATATTTGATGAATTTAGTGAGAAGGGTATAGACTTTATTGACTCATAATCAGTACGGTACAAAAGAAATAGTGGATATTATAGTAGCTATGCTGAAAGGTTCGTTGTCTCAATTTTCAGGCATTGAGCGCATCATTGGTTGTATAATTTTAAACACTGATAGTTAGTCTTCCTTCAAGGAGTCGATATGTCTTGTTTGGTTGCAGAATTTTACTGTATTTATCGCAAAAGATTTCCTTATATTAGGGTTTGGTTTTGAGTATATAATTTAATTTTATATTTAATAACGATCTGAGGAATCCTGTTGATTCATACTCTCCAATATGTTATTTAATTAACTTGAAAATTTTATGGGGTCTACTCAGCCAAGAGTTTTTATTGAGCCAATTTAAACTCGTCTTGAGCAATTTTTGATTAAAGCGTTGTCAAAATTTTACGTAATTATACCTACTCCATACACTTGATTTGATTTGAATGCATTTGAGCATGTCACTAGCTCCCTGGGAGTCCTCAAACTTTCATATGATATTTTGTTTAGCTCATCGCCGTTTCGAGTGAAAGTGCGTGATCAAGAGATCCATAGGTCAATCACACCAGAAAATGACAGCGGTTTCCATTTAACCAGCTGTCGTTTGGCCTTGATAGAACCTGGTTAATGTGGTCCTTGAGATTCTGATGAATGTGTGTAATATTTTCATCCATCAAAAGACCAATAAAGTCCGAGCTGGAACCCATTCTGACAAGAGCTTTAACATAACACAAGTGCAAGGAGACTGCCAGGCTATATATACTACTATATAAAGTCATAACCGAAAGCGAAAATAAACATATATAGATAGAGATAGAGTGGTTTGGTAGTTCACTTTTCTAAAAATTAAGATATTTCTACTTGAGTGTCTCTCATTCTTTATCTATCTATATTTGCATATTTTTGCTTTTAGAAGGCGGGTGGAAAGGAATTTTTGATTGGCCTCATCGTATACCGAAGTAAGGGTGCCCTGGATTATTGTCTGTTGAATTGTGCGAAGGAGACCTCTGGGTCGTAGGATGGTGATCCGAGGTCTTCTTCGCACAATTTAGCAGACAAATGTTCAAGGCAATCCTCCTTCGGTATACGGTAAGGTCAGACCGATTTACGAATCCCTTTTACCCGTCTTCTAAACCGAACGGAAAGGTATGCCAATATCAGCCTTACTCAGGGATTCTTCGAAACCCAGCTTCTCTTAATATGGAAAAAAATACCTGCTTTATCGTCAATACCAGGATAAAATGTGGCATGGATAAGGTCTGGCTTGCCCTGGCACCCGTTATTGTCCTATTGAGCGTTCTGATACGCTCCAGGCGTTGTCGAAACTACCTTTAATTCTGGATAAGGTCACCGTTTGTGAAACAAGACCAAGATAAATTCATTGTCATCATATATTGTGGAAGGGTATCCTGTAAGTCCTTTATCACATCAAGCGAACTAGAGAGACAACAATTTTTATTCGTGATCCACTAATATTCACTAAGGCTACATTTAATCTTTAGTCTTGTTTTGATATTTGCATGATCATTCTCTCATGTCTAAACTTGTATTCGATATCCTGAGGGTTGATTAAGGGCAATACACAGTCTGAGTATTTTGGGAATAATCCAAGGTAATAATAGTTTTACAAGTCAGCAAAACTGGTGGATACAAATTGCAAATTAGTCTTCTTTTCGATTCACCTTTTAAATAGTTGTCTATCTAATCAAATTATATATTCTCAATGTTGAGATTTTAACATATTTAATTCACATTGGCACTCATTCCCTCCAGCGGAATCCTCGCAAACGCCTTTGGGCCTGCCAAGGGTAGGATGGTGCCTCGATAATTATATCACTACCATTTGCTAACCTTCTTACGGATTGGCACAACGCCTATATATATATATATATATATATATATTATATATATGAAGGTCCCCACAAATATTTTGTCCTTAGAGTATCTTCTAAATTCCACTACTCTTCGTATATATTGTTCAACTTAGTCGATTTAGCTTATCTGTGTTTTCTTCTTTCACAGACTGGCCGAGCAGTATCTCCTCGCGACCAGACTCTGCTTTCACCCGGCCAATTGGCAGCTGGCTCTGAGACCAACCAGGTCTCTCAGGCTTTCACCTCTTCAGGTTCAATGCAGTACATGCGAAGCTCTTCAGGAGATAAGATCCAGTCGACCGTCCAATCACTACCTTCATCCTCCTCATACCAGCAACATACCCAGAAGAAGAAGTCGTTACGCTGGCCACTCTGCCCCTCTGCGGCCCATTCGTCTGCCAAGAATCGAACTCAAACTGCCCCTGGGTCGTTTGAACTTATTTCCTCCGAAGTGGTTGACCGCCTCATTCTGGTGGCTCGGATGATCGCGGCTGAAACGTGTCGAATGCGTCGTCATCAGATGCTTCCAGCCGGCCCCAACTTAGCCCCACCACGCCACGGGCCGTATCAGTTATCTTTGGCCTGCCCACCTGAAACCTCAACTGCTACTGGCGAGGCTTGTACACGCCAATGCATGCTAGAGACTCAGGGTATCGAGTTTTCATCTGCCCAAGACAACGTTGATATGAGAGTTTTAAATAGCCCAGTCTCCCCTCTAACATGTTCCCTCGGCCTAGGACTCGACTCTGCGGCAGCCAACAAGAAAGCACAAAATGCAATTGAAGCTCCAAGTGAAGATGCAGGCAAGCCTAGAATGGCCGATGGGACAGAGTCGGGGGATGATTCCTCGTCAGATCCTCTCGACAGCCTTGCTCTTCGGATTACTATTGCCGGGCTACATACGCGACAGGTTAAGTTGCGCCATATGCGTCGAAAGATTCGCTGTCTCGAAGACAAGGTAATGTAACTAAAAAACTTGTCATTCTAAGTCGCTTAAAGTTAATTAAAAACTGATGGGAGGGTTTGACTTCGCTATCGCAACTTGGTAATGTTGTCGTATCGACCTTGCTCGAAGTCATCTGCCATGGTAGTCATGGTACTTTCCAGTATCTGACCGTGGACTCGTTACATTCCCAAACGCTTCATTTGCTTCGTCAAAGGAATAAATAAAATCCATTCCTTAACCAACCCTCCGCTCAACAGCTATAGTACGTTTATGCTAGAACTTGTGCTTGGGAAAGGGGAGATACGAGGATATGGCATGGGTTAATGATACAGATATGAAGAATAATTGGGTTTCAATGAATCTCCTGAAATAATATTGTTTGGGTGACTTTCATTTCGAATGAAAGTTCATGAAGAAGAGATTCCTAGGCTGATCTCATCAGAAGAGGACGGCTGAATCCCTTTGTACTTCAGTCGTTTGGCTTTACTACGACGTTTAGGTTGACGCAGTCCACGAGACCTCCTCCCTCGTTTCAGGTGAAAACGGGCTGAGCTTTTATCCATCATATCATAGACACCATCAGAGCTGGAATCATTCTTATAAAAGTCTCAAGGTAACACTATGACTAGAAGACTATCCGGCTCTATCTTGTATAGAATTAATTAGGCAAAAGAAAATTTGAAGGCATATATGTATTGACTTTACTTATTTCTTTTGACGAGTTAGTCTTGTGCTAAGATTGGCAAAACTCATTGACGATTTCGAAGAAACTCTTCGAAATGTATCAAGTCCAGGTTTTGATGTAAATTGAGGCTAAACAACTTCTCGACAGCAAAAGGCGTCTGCGACTAAAGCAAAGGCCACATCTACGTCTTATAGACTGATATTTGAGTTTTCCATAATGAGATGAGTTCTCATTCATGAAGTACCGATAGCCTCAAACCTAGGTGAACAAATTATATGCTTCATACGAATGTACATTGTCCTCCATTTGGTGTCCTAAAGTCTCTCGAGTAATAGAAATACTTTACACATATCGGTAAACTTGTTAGTGCATGAACTGAATTCCTTCATTGCTTAGTGACGAATTATATACAACTCGTAGTGATAT